ACTTCCAATAGGTTTTGCAGGGAACTTAGAGCTGGTATTCTTCAGTATATTGCTAAATGAAAAACAACAACAATAACAACAAAAAAACCCCAAAGAAAAACAATTCCGAGGTCTTTTTACAACTCTCCTCACAACTTTCAAATCCTGTTACACATATATCACAAAGAAATAATAGAAAAAACAAAACTCTATTTAAAAAAAAAATGCAGGCTACTTAAAATATCTGTGAAATTATCTCAGAAATTAACATTTCCACTTTGTATTTCCACCAGTCTGAATCGGGACAGTGAAACTAACTAGCTGAGCAATTGCTACTAGAAAAATCAAATACATAAGAGGAAATGCAGTTAACACAATATTTCACATATGTTAATGCTTACAGTTCCATCAGTGTCAGCTTTATTTTCTACTTGATATACACCAAAGCTGGCACACAATTTTAACTGATGAGGTAATGTCATTTTCAATTTAAGGAGCCTTAAGCCGTCCACTTTAACTAGTGATATCATCTTTGCAGTTGTCTCACGGGACTTCATGTAAACATAAGTAATGTGCCCTGGATGGTTTGGAGCAGAGTTGTTAAAAATGACATTGGTCATCATGAAGACATTTTTTTCCTTTGATCTCTTTAAAAATGTCAGACACACTTTATTGTCCTGTCGTTTTTAGCTCTTCCTTTTATATTAACGTGCTCGGAACATTTCAGTGAATGTAACGGCAGAATAAAGGTCTAAACAAATTAATGGCAACGTTTTAACGGCAGTCGTAGTAGGATAATGAAAAGTAAATGAGATTGTCTGGCTAACAGCAACCCGTTAAATGAAACGGCAGCGCGGCTGAGGCACCAAGACGCGGGGGCAGAGAAAAGCCTCGTGCCGCAGCCCGAAAGAGTCCCGGAGCACAGCCCGGGCTCCCAGTGCCACCGCCTTTCGGAGAGGACTAGACTGATTCTACAGGTTGTGTCTGCTCCCCCTTCCTGTCCGGGGTCCAGTGAAAGTGTCTGCTGATAAAACTTAAAAACCAGCCCTGTCTCTGCACCTGCAGCCTCTGCTGCCCCGTGACTCTTCCTCTCATTTGTGTTCCCCGGCTGGCTCGGGACACCAAGCTCGGGGCTCTCCTCAGCCCTCCGAAACGAACCCGTCAGGCCAAGCCCCGCGTATTGGCACCTCCGGTGGCAGGGCTGAGGCACCCGAAGATGACTCTTGCTCTCAGGCAAAGTTTTCTTACCAATCATTATTGCGGTGTTATATGCTTTTCCTTACACAGTCCTGAGGAGCGAAGCGAGTAACCAGGGCAGGATTTAGCCCAGTCTGTTCCGTAATCACACGCTGTACAAACACGACTATTATGGCATGCCTTTCTTGGTTCAAATACCTAAGCGAAGACGATTTGTAATGAAACAGGTTTTGTCTGAGAAAAAACAAGTGCTCTGACTGACGTGTGGATTTTGTGATTTGCTCCAAACTGTTTGTCCAGCTAACAAGGAAAATAACAGATTTTTCTACCACTGCTCTGAAACATGGTGGAGTTTTGAACAAAATCTAATGTTGAGGGATTTATTTATTATTCTGCGGACATATGTTTGGAGGACAGCATATGGAAATCAAAGTATTGTTCATAAAGAGTTCCAGCTAAAAAGACATTTTTGAATTCATAACAGAACTTCACAGTTTGAAAAGGATGCCATGCATTATGTATTGATAACAACACTACACAGACAAAGGAACACAATTTAATAACACAGAATTGTGCTCATGAGATTTCCTTTTTTTTTGTTAATTGGTTACTTTAGCTGACATTGTCTGCAAGCATAATGGACACCATTCTTCCTAATAGTTCCATGTTGCCAGATGATGTCTACAGACATAATGTAGTCCATTTTAATTATTTCATTTTGCTTACATCTTTCAGCATAATGCATTTTCCAAGCAACCTAGCATTTTTCTTGATTATCTATGTTGTGTTATGGTTTCTAAATTAATTAGTTCTCCTTCTTTCCTGGAAGTTAAAAGTTTCTTCCTTCCATTTATCTACCAGGTATGATTATGTTGAAGTGATTGATGGAGATAATGCTGAAGGACGCTTATGGGGAAAGTACTGTGGAAAAATTGCTCCCCCTCCTTTAGTGTCTTCAGGACCATATCTTTTTATTAAATTTGTTTCCGACTATGAGACACATGGAGCAGGATTTTCTATCCGTTATGAAGTTTTCAAAAGAGGTGAGAAACAATTCATTGTTATATCGCTCGTGACCTGTGATTTTTGCTTGCATCAAAAAGTTCACCGTAATTCCTTGGAACAGAGGCAATGCATGAAAATGCTTGAAAGAGAAAATTGTATTACCCTTGTGCCAAGGTGGGGCGTGTATTCAATGGGTGTAAATCGTTATGAATCCAATGGGTCAGCTGCATCTGAGGATTGGCTCCTCTGGGTGTAATGTGATAGTCTTCATCAGCTGTTTCAACCGTCTTAAAACCATTAGCTTTCTTCCTTTTTTGTGTGTGCGATAATAATTACCGTGTGATTTACAATGTTACTTCTTTAACAGCACTGTAACCTTCTGAGTCCTTGACTTATCTTGGTTAGTGTTCTGCTCTGAATTCCCAAGAGATGGCCGTGGGCTTGGAAAGGACGAGAGTACACACAAGCAGCAGATGATGATGATGTTGCTGTTGCTTTCACAAATCATATTTGGGAGATAAGCTATAGGAGAAACTCACACTGTTCACAGGCATGACCTGCTGGATGCTTGTGCCAGGCGTTCAGTGCCAGTGAGCACAGATACCTGTACAGGGCATGGAGAAAGCCCAGAGAATCAAACAGTCCAGGATTAACCAGACCTACAGACAGTCCCTCTTTGGTAGCTCTCTTGCTGAGTCAATAGCTAGAAGGGCAGTAAGATCTTTTTTTTTGCCATACGCCTTCCCTATAGCTGGATGGAGACAAATAATTCATATATTCCATGCCTGGCGAATACAGAACCAAAACTCATAATATATAAAAAGACAATAAGCTTAACTTTATAGAAAGAGATACTGAGTTCCACATCAATGTTTAGGGTCATATTCACAAGAGCAGCTTAAACCTCCAAATTTCCAATGCACACCACTCCCAGCCAGTGCCCCATTTTCAGAACCAGTTCAAGTCCCTTTTACAGACCTAAACCAGAGCCAGATTTTCAGCTGCGTTCAGCACACGCGCTTGGTGGCAGCTGTACTGTTAATGAGGAGAATCACAGTCGTGAAGTCTCTTTTCTATCGCATGTGACTGCTGCTCTGCACAGTGCTAATTGGGGCCATAGACCTCTTGTTCACCATCTTCCCTGTCTGTAAATCCACTCCTGGCTCCCAGAAATTCTTTTGGTGACCTTCAGGGTCACATTTTTTGAAAGAACTCAGCATCGAAATGACACCAAGCTTTCCTGAAAAAATATCTCTATTTGTTTTGGTGTCTTTAGGAGGCTAAACTCTTGAAACTGTGTCATGAAGTTTCTCAGTGCTTATATATACAGTACCATCTTCCGTAAAGAACAAGGCTGAAGCACAAGAAGTGCTGAAAGAATGACCTGTGAAACATCTATTTTAGCAACTGAGCATTTTCAAGAAAAAAGCTTTTATTTCTTTCCTAATAGTGTAGTGGCAACTCAGAGCTGACAGGAATGTTGTGTTTATTTCCTTGTGTGGTCATTTACGTCTCTCAATGATATACATTAACCACGTTAAGGTGGCGTTATGAATGTGATTTTACACACACAGAAGTCAGAGAAGTCAAAATTATGGCTCCCAGAGCAATTTTAACTCTAGTTCATCCCATGTAAACTGTATATTAAGGCAGGAAAGTTATCACTGAGTACACTGTTAGAAAATGCTGTGTGTACACAAAGGATACAACTTATAGTTGCTGTGGGAACACAGTCCTTTTTAATTTTTGAATTAATGCATATATGCTATTCCAAATTTACATTTTAATATCTGTACCAAATAAAGCTGACCAGTTCACCCTGTTATGCAGGTGAATCTCAGTTGCTCACGCCAGACTAATATGCTTCGTTTTAGCATATTCACAATTTAGCTCATCATTTCCCAGGTATAAGAAGTATTAAAATGATCCCAAGGTCCTGTGGTGCTGAGCTGAAGGCTGAGCTGCATTCCAGCAGACAGTATATTTTTGCCCATTATTCCTGTCAAATCAGCCGGGTTTTGAAAAGAGAAACTGCATTACACTACCTGTGTCCTAAGCTGAATTTTAAACCTGATGCTTAAAGTGCCCCATGCCATGGAAATTGTAAGGAGACACCAGCCAGCACATGTAATGACTGCGATAAATGAAGTACGGGCTTTGAGAGTAGGAGCTGCCTGTCCTCCTCATTCAGCTCCTTAGCCACAAAGACACTGAAGAATTTGAAATGAAGAAACAACGTGAAGAAGTTGAATTCCAGCCTAAAACATGAAACCCGTATTGCCCATCTGAAATGTTCATTATTTTGGATTCGGCAGCCAGCCTATCTTAGGATATTCACTAGAAGAGGATCTACATGGTTCACATTCAACATTCCTCACTTTAGTCAACTAAATTTATGGTGTAAACTGGAAGAAAAGACAGTGCCAACCAAGAAGGCGAATGATTTTCTGGCTCAGTGACACCTTCAGAGACCAAATGAAATTATCTCCAATGTCACGTCTTTTTCTTTGCTCTCTCTATTGCTTCCTCTCTCTTTCCTTCAGCTCATATCTCTTCCTTTATTTGATACACATGCCCACATGTAGTTTCTCCACCTCAGAAGTATCTATTCCGTCAGGTCTCTGCTAGAACCTTTTCTGCTACTTTTCCGTGAAGATCACCCTATGAGTTCCTCATAGTCTCAGTGTTTATTTAACTCCTGGAGCTTCTTCACAATGTCAATAAAGGGTCAAAATCTGTGGAGGGCATTTTAGTGAGGCAGGTCTTCCAAAAACAGCTTTTGTTTCTTCCACCAGATTGACTTGAACATGTTTAAAACAAAGCAAGCTGGTATTGAGATACCATGTGTAAGCGTAAGGAGCCTGACGATTGTGCACTCACAGAGCCAGGATCTGTCTGTATCTAATAAAGCAGTAATGATCCTGGCTTACATTTTATATTGCATCTTTTATTGGATTCCAAGAGGGGTACAGAGAATTTTATGCTATGAATGGCATAGCAAAGCTTTTTTATCCTGGAACAGCAGCTACCGGTGGGAGTGAGGAGCAACAACCAGAATATAACCCTCCCATACATGACAAGGAGACAAGGGAATGACAGGGACAGAAGAGAAATATCCGACTAATGTGTAAGGAGGCGATTTAATTATAGGCAAAATGTAATTTCCCAAATTGGAATGGGTCAGGTTACGTGTGCATTAATATTTACATCTTCCAAAATATGCCATGAAGTGTTCTGAATATTGATGTGATAGCTCAAGCATTTTCTATCAGTGTCTGTTGAAGGACAAAAATACCTGAACAGACTAAATTCATTCAGACCTCCCTCTTGAATGCTGAATTTAACTGGGAGGTGGCCAAATCTGTGGGGGGTAATATGTTTGGCACATTCACAAGGAAAACATTTTCTATGGTGAAATAAAAGTATTCATATATGCAACAAGCCAGACTGTTTTCTTTCAATGATCTGTGTTAAACATTGGAAATCCTCTAAGGCTCCTGACTATAGTCGTTAAGGATGCTGTGCATCCTCATCCAAACTGAAACCTCACACACACTCATCCTCCAGCACTGACCTGCCTGTTGCAACCAGACTGTGTTGCCTGTGTCCTTCTACTCACGTCCAAAGACCTTCATCTGAGCCATCCTACTCAAACTTCCCAGGTTGGCTGCTATCCACCAATGCCCCAAATCCTGTAAATCACTTTCCATTAAATTTGGAGTGTCAAAAGGCAGAGAGGGGTACCTAGGCTGACCTTGTGGGAGGATGTGTGGGCAGTGCCTGCGGCTGACTTCTGAGCACACCTGCAGATGTGGGATCCACAGGGAGGATTCCTGAGGGACCTAAATAAAGGAGAAATGCGATCTGTCAACAAGAGAGGGACTTCAGTTTTAGTCCCCTGTATTCACAAAAGCAAATCCAGGGATATGGTCTTTTATACCCTTGCATCTTTACTGCCACTTCCGTGCTCCACCAAGAGCACTGTTTGGAGCATCCCATTATGCCATGGTGGGGACATCAGGGAAAGCTGGTGGGTCAACATTGACATTAGGTGACTTCTAGCAACACTGCCTCTAATCACACAGTTTATCACGCCTGCACTAACAGCAACATTTTACTGGTGCACCTGTGTCAACACCACTCAGAATGAGTCACTCACCCTTGGTACATGTACGAATTACCTTTCACATTTAGTTTGTCAAGGAGGCATAGGTCACATCTGGCAGAGTTACTGAGTCAATGCTCCAGGAATCCGAAACCACTACTCCCTCTACTGAATTCACTCACCCGCTTTTGTAAAAAATTCTATTTTACCAATAAAAGCCTGTCAGCCATAAGATTTAAAGATTTGAGCTTGAAGGGGCTATAATTATTTCTCTAGGGCTCTGTCGAGATTTCTGCAGCTTACACTTTCATTGTTCCCACATGACTTTGTATTTGTCATAATTTTTTCTAGAGCTGGTACAAGTTTTCATATTGTTCCATACAAATTGAAAATTAGAGATCAGACAGTATATGTGAAATGTGCTTTAAAACCTGACTATCAATAATAGGAACAAGCTGGCTGAATGATTAATGCAACGATTAAAATGAGGTGTTTCATTGAAAAGCCACCTTTGCTGCTGGAGAGACAATACGACCTAATTTGTTTTCCAGCTAACTACTTTGCTTAGTAGCACAGTGTTAACCCAGGTGATTTTTCTCTTTCTTTTACAGGACCTGAATGTTCCAGAAACTTTACGGCGTCAAGTGGAGTCATAAAGTCCCCTGGATTCCCTGAAAAATATCCTAATAGCCTTGAATGCACTTATATTATCTTTGCACCAAAGATGTCAGAGATTATACTGGAATTTGAAAGCTTTGAGCTAGAACCTGATTCAAATACTCCAGGGGGAGCGTTCTGTCGCTATGACCGATTGGAGATCTGGGATGGATTCCCTGACGGTAAGAGAAAAATGGACTGTGATATGCATAACCATTACTCTACAGTGGGCTGCAGAAGGCGTAGTCTCATTTATTTAAATGTCATAGTAGAGAGGTTCTTGCTTGATTTATGTAAAAAGAGTTGAATTAAAGAGAAATAGGGAAAATGCTTTGTGAGTTCATTCAGTAAAGCCTATCATAGTGTGAATGGGATTTTTTATGAAATATGTTGAATTTTGAACAGTTGGCTTGGGGGAAACCTTTGTTTTTAGAGGGAATGTGTGATGGACCTCCTAGGCTAAATTAAATTAAATATGAAGCCTTATAATGGGTCCCCAGACTTTCACAGCTAACACACAAGTATTGTCCAGAAATTGCCAATGACTTGCACAAACTGGACTTCAGGTACTAACCCTCCAGCTTGTGGAGGAACCAAGTTACAGACCAGCTGTCAAAGCAGAGAATTTTTTTGCCAGGGAAAACATGGTGTCCATACAACTGAAATTATAGTGACTAAATGATCAGCCAGGTTAGGAAACGGTCAATGAGTTATTCATTCAGTTAGCTTTGGCAACTGGGCACTGCAGGGTTCCTCCCTTACAGTGCTCTCTCTTCCAGTAGTATAAGCAAATCCAAAGGTTTTATCTTAATTTGTTAACTTATAATCTCTGATTAGCTGGGCACATGTGTCAGGGTGGGTGTGTTGGATACCCTTCTGGAACTTACTTCTCTGCCATGTCAGTAATTTTCCACTTAGTTGTTGACCACACTTGACCTTGTGCAAATTCACTAAGTGCATAGCTAGATATTAGCTAAGCCTGTAGAGCCAGTGGGCCCTCGTTTCACCCTCTGCCCAATCGCATATCCTTGTTTTACACTGAGACTGATGAACAAAATAGCTGCATGATTCCTCTATTTTTCTCATATACGGCAATGAGTCCGCAAGATCCAAGTCACCTCCAGGTAGGGCAGCCGTGTGCCAGTTCTCCAAGGACCCCAGCTCGATAGGCTGCGGCTCCAGCCTAAGAGGGACTGTTCAAGCTGAATGCCTAAGCTTTAGGGTGCCCAAATGCCTATATGAATTGTGCAAACAGCTATGTAAAACTGATTGTTTGTGGTGCCTACTTCACTGTTTCTATGTATGGCATAAGCTGATAAAGGGAAGCATCTTGAAGCTGTCCTTTTTCTCCCTAATTTTGTAACTTGTAGCAAAATTCAACAACTGAAGATTTATGTTGTTTGTGTTGGGCACCAATTACAGCTATTTCAGTTTTCCACTGGTGTGATAATCCATATTAACAGATATTTTCTTTGCTTTTATAAACAGCAGTGGCAGTTTCTACAAACTACTAATCTTACATTAATATTTCAGTTAAATGAAAACATATAAAGTAAGGAACATATTTTAATAACACAATTAAACTTGCCTGTTTTCCTAGATGAATCCCCAATATAATTTTAATTAAAGTTTTTATTGATGCTGTGGTAAATAGGTATGTGCTTTTTAATGTATATTTGGTTTTCCTTTTTGTTTTATGCTTAATGGGCTTATCATGGCTCTTTTCAGTCCACACCAATAAATAAAGGAGAAAGACCCATAACAGTAGCTGAAAGACTATTTAGTATTTAATGCCTCAGTTAGGAAAACATTGTTGTAACACTGCAATAATGATGTCTGGAACATTTAATAACAGGTTTATTTGTGTATAGGCCAAATCTGTCCAAGCTGAATTTCTGTAGAACTTGCATTTAAACTGACATATGAAAAGATGATCCAATCAATCAATTTATGTGCAATATTACCAAAAAGAAATGCATTATTATTAGAGTCAGAGGGTTTCAAAGCCATAATTTCCTGGTTCAAGAAAGTGACTGAGCCATACTGGAGAGCAATTAACAGCAGGCATTATCAGCCTTCCAGTTCCCTCACAAACTGTCCAAACCCAAAATGATCCTGACATCCAATAAGGGTTTTTACATGTTTGTAAATATTCAACTGAATTTGCAGACTAGAAAGAAGTGTTTCCTTAGATACAAACTGTTGGAGGTTGAGGCAGTTGTAAGGAAATGTTTGCTGCATCATTTCACTGCAGGACGATCCTTAGCCGTCAGTCTCTCTTGTTTAACTTAACACTACAAAGGCAGAGAGGATGCCATTACTTCTCTATAAATGCATCACAGGATGAATCCCTGGGAGGGAGAAGAACTATTTCAACTGAAGAGCAAAGCTGACACAGGAAACCACTGATATGACCTGGCCATAAACTGAAGATAGAAATTAAATGTTTCTAGATATCAAAAAGAGAGTATACAGATAATTTTGGAAAAAAAAAAAAGGAGAAAGGAAGGCAAAATAAATCTAATTTTCATCCACATGGAAGTAGTAAATTTCTGAAAATTATTAGACAGTATGTTTGCCTTTGATGAAGGGAAGCTCACCCAAGGTGAGTCTTTCAGCCATTTGTCCATTTTCCTTTAGTCCGTGAAAAAATATTCTGAACCTCCAGCTACACTATTAACTAAAACAGAGCCAAGGCACAGTTGTGTGTACTGCTTAACTGCGGGCACACTCCCTTGCACCATTTTAGCCCACGTCATCTTGCACTTTCCCAAGCAATTCCTAAGCATAATTTGGAGGATAGCGAAAACCGGGCAGCGTTCCCAGCCGGCACGTAGGACACGGCCATCCTGCCTCCGAGGGAAGAGCCCTGTGGGAGCGAACTGTGTCACACGGGGAGTCTGGTCCCAGGAACAGTCCCTGGCCACCGGCAGCAGGTCTGGAGGGTGGTCCCTGGCCTGCTCTATGTAGTGATATAGACATAGCCATAAAAAAGCAACCTATTTTGCTTTGTTGCACTGCATTGCTGCTCACATGCCCAGTTGTGTTAGAGGTTAAAGCCCCTATTGCACTACACTGATATAAACAAGAAGTAGAAGGATTTTTTAAATGCTTGGAAAAAATTATACCCTTCAGTTCAAACCCCCTGCTCCACAGCAACACAGCTGTGATTTGCCAAGGTGATGGCAGTTCTTAATAGGACACAGAGAACAGTTTGATGGAAAATAGTTGTGGCTGCAGCCAGCACAGAATTAGATGGACAGCCCCCTGAACACGCTGCTCTGACCCAGCTCGGGAAGCCTGATGTCAATATTTGAGCCAGGCACCTTTAATCCCCCCATTCTCAGCAGAGAACAACACCCCACTGATTTGTCTCTGATATCTACTTTAAGGCAGTTAATGGAGCTCTAGAGGTGTTTATCTTATTGACTGTACTGGCAGCTGTGGATCACTAACGTAGACGTAAACTTGAGGTACATAAGTTAGAGCAGATGAAATCCACCGTAAGTGGAAAATGTTTTCACTATAGAGTTTGATCAGCTACAGTCACCGGAGATCAGCAGG